ATCGGCCGAATGGTTTGCTTCCACACTGTAGGGAATCTGTGATTCTATTCAGCCTGTCCCTTTAAGACAAATCCTCCAGTTTTGGCAACATCCTTGTAAATCTTTTTTGCATCCTCTCAAGTTCAACAACATCCTTCCTGGAAGGAAATCTGCCATCCTTACCCGGTCTGGCCTCCATGTGACTCCAGACCCACAGCAATGTAGTTGACTCAAATTGGGGCATTAAATGTTGGCTCAGCCAATGATGCTCACATCCATGAAAGAATTTTTTTTAAAAATAGCTGTTGCTGGTCACAGTGCTGAGGTTGTATCTGAAAATAGAGCCAGACTAATTTCTAGGCCATCATCTCAAAGTGACTGCATCTGAAAATTTATTGTGATGTAGCCTCCAACCCGATTGTATCAATCCATTGATATAGCATGGATTGTATTACACCAACTTCTTTTATTAAGGCCAGAAAGTTACTTGCATTTCTCCCATCTCACTCGAGGGCAGTGATCAAAATTTTCTCCTTGCTTCTTCACCTCTTCTTGAGTCTTCTGTCTCGTCCTTTTGCCCCCTCTCATGTACTTTGCCCTCCATGTCAACTGCCTCATGGATGAGCTTCCTTCTGTGTCTCTCTCAGCGTTGCCTGAAGGGTACGTCAAGGCAGTCTCCTCCCAAGCAGCATTCCCCAGCATTCCTATGCTCGTCTCTCCCAGTGCTGATCTGAAGGACTGTACCAGTGGATCTGCCCTCACAACCCAGCTCCACATGATGTCTCTGGAGCACTTCCACTTGTCAGCTTCCTGACCCAATGCCCTCCTGTACACTGGGTGGCCTCAGCTTGTGTTCACATAGGCTCTGGATACTCAAGTCTTATTGACAGGAATCTACTCACCAATGGCGTGGTCAATGATGGAACTCATGAATACTGGACGCACCACTGCAGGCTGTCTCTCTGTCATTAGAGACACGTAAGGCAGTCCTGGCACATAATACAGCCATTACATGTGAAATAGTCGTTATATTGGTCTCTGCGTTGAGATGAGTTCATTATATTCTTGCCCCATATGTTCCCAATTGGTCAATCTTTTGAGGACTGTTGTTGTAATTTTACTTGTGCTTCCACTTGCTGCCTGTCCCAGCTGCTAACACCTCTCTAGACTAACTGACAACAAACATTAACCCACCCACCCGCTGGAAACACAGCAATTGATTCAGTGCGATAAGCAGCCACGCTGCACTGACCATACTCTGAGCCTTGTGTCCTCAGGTCACTGGGTGTTTAGGTGCAGAATGGACCAAGAACAGTATAAATCAGAGGCTGAATAGCTTCAAGGAGCTCGCAAGGAACTGTAGTCCTTAGAGATTTGATATTTCAAAAAAATTACTGGACCTAAAAGCTTCAGGAGTCAATAGAGAAGCTTAAAAACAGAACTGTCCACCCTCCCCAGGCAGTGCCTGCTCACTCCCCACCTAGCTCCATGTCCCTCAGTCCAGTCAAATCACTAGTGTCTGTTGGACTTCTCTATTTATTCCGTTGGCAACTTGATGTCTTCCCAGCCCTGTATGCTTCTTACTCAAAATGTTCGTGTTGGCACAGTCTTCCTCTGTATTCGTCCCCAGCTATCTCCTCATGCTTGGCGATTTTAACATCCACCTAAAACCCTCTTTGGCCCCTCTCTCCTCCAACTTCTCTGACGTAGTTTCACTCAGTCTGAGTTCTCTCACAAACATTTCCCAGCTACATCCAAGATCACATCCCTCAACTTTCCCATCTCTCTCTGCCCCACCCACAAAGTAAACTTATCTCCACTGCCTCCAAACCTCCCAACTCACAACCTTCACTGTTTGTCCAGAACAAGTTCCTCCTTTTAATCCACTCCCAGTTTTTGCTGATATGGCTTATATCCCAGCCAGAAACTCTCTGATAGAGATACCTGGCCCTGACCCATTCCTGACCCAGTGACCCTCTCTGAGACAGATTTGCATAACCTTTAAATCATGATGCTTGGATCATTTTCTTTCAAAAGAAAATCATCCAGTTCCAATTATCATAAGTCCAGAATTAAGAATACTTCATCAGAATCTTTTACTGGTCATTGGTGCCACTAATATCAGAGAATCCATAAAACAGATAACAGTGATATGTTCAAGTAGAAACATGGGAGAAGCCCATTCAGCCCATCAGGCCTGCTCAATCATTTTCAATCAGAGCTTGGCCATTCTGTCCCTCAAATCCATTTACCAGCTACTACTCCACATCCTTTGATTCCCTTTTTCAACAGACATTGATTGCCCTCAGCATTCATAGCTGGCTAGCAGAGAGAGAGAGAGAGAATTACAGAATGGAGTAATGAAACAGAGCTAAATCTCATTTTGAGATCATATTGACTCTTTATTGAATGTCCCAGAAGAGGAACTATTGCCGTGTACCCACCCTACTGAATTTGTTTAACATTGTAAATAAATCTGGATTGGATCACCCTTCCATCTTCTCTCTCCAATATCGAACCAACGGATATGATACGCTGCATTAATACTCTCTTTACAATATGCATTTCTAACAAGGTGAGCTATAATGTTAACAGCCTGAAATCAACTCCACTATCCATTTGACTAGCAGCTGCAGCTAAGTTGATCATACTTTTATCCCTGACTCTTATCTGTAAAGATTCTTACCGATTTTATAGATACACCATATATAGCATTCTACCTGGGTGCATCATGGCTTGGTATGGCAACTGCTCTGTCCAGGACTGTAAGAAACCACAGAGAGTGGTGAACAGAGCCCAGTCCATCATGCAAGCCAACTTTCCATCCATTGACTCCATCTATACTTCTCACTGCCTCAGAAAGGCAGCCAACATCATCAGAGACCCATCCCACCCCGGTTATAATCTCTTCCAACCTCTTCCGTCGGGCAGAAGGTACAAAAGCTTAAAAACATGGACCAACAGATTCAAGAATTGCTTCTTCTCATCTGTTATCAGACTTCTGAATGGACCTTACAAATTTTAAACTTAAATATTGTTCTTGCACTTTGTGCACCTTCTCTGCAGCCATAACATTGTATTCCTCGCTCTGTTCTATTGCTCTAATGCACTTTGTATAGTATGATGCGCCATAAAACAAAACTTTTTGCTGTACCGAGGTACACATGACAATAAATCCAGTCAAATCAATAGTTTGTAGATCCAAACCCCACACCAGAGATTTGAGAGCTAAATTAAGGCAGACACATCCAATGTAGTTTTGAGGGTGTTCTGTAGTGAGGAAGTCCTGCCGTTTCAGATGAGACATTAAAATAAAGCACCATCTCCACTCAGTTACGTATGAAACATCCTACGGTATCCTATCTCCCAGCGACCTGGCTAATATTTTTCTCTCAATGGAGCATGGTTTGCAGGAGCTTGCTGTGTATAAATTGGCTGCTGTGTTTCCTACATTTCAGCACTATTACATTTTTCGAAAGGACTTTGTGCCTGTGCGGGCCATATAAATAGAGAAAGGAGAGAAAGGACAGGTCATTTCCTCCAGAAGTATTTCAAGAGGTGGGTTCAGGGCAGATTGATCAGAATCCCACTGGGGCCTAAAGAGTTAAATGATGAAGCCATGTATGTAAAGTGGTATTGTATCCCACTGAGCAGAGAAGATTGAGGATTGATTGAATTGGTGTACAGTAAAGGAGTTCAGGGTGGATTTTGATAGCAAGGCAGCTGGAGAGAAACCACTTCCTCAGATGGGTGAGTCCAGTCCAAGGTAAAATCATCAAAGTAAAGCAATCCATTGAGGAGTGAAATCAGGAAGCACTTTTCACACAAAGGGCAGTGGAATTCTGGATCGCGCTCTCCCGACGAGGCTGTGGAGGCTGGGTCCATGGAATTTTAAAAACCAAGATTAATTGCTGTTTTGAGTAAACATGCATCAGAGAACCAGGATGAGTGGATTTTCCCACGTGTAATCTTAGTTTGGATTTTTTCTGTGTTGTCAACACAAAAGCACAGTTGACAAACTCCTGTGATAGCAGCGGCAAAATGAGCAAAGTTGAAGCATCCCCTGGAATGATGCAAGTACTTCCTCTCCCTTCAGGTGCTGTGTCATCAGAGGGCTTTGGTACCTGAGGACTATCTGTGTGTTTATCTTGGCCCTACACTGCAGCAGCTTCTCATTGCCTTCTGTAGGGTAGCTGGCCAGGAGACTCTCTGACTCTTACTGCCTGCAGTCTGGAGGACTAGACAGATCATACAAGCTGACAACCAATCTACTTGGCCACGTTACAAATGTGCCTTCCACAGCCTGACCTGGGACCCAAGCCCAGAGCTCCTGGACCAGAGATAGGGATGCTTCCCACTGCACCACATTTGCTCCACTGGTTCCTTACAGACTCCAATGTAGGTCCTGGATTAGGACATTCCGCCCTTCAGAGTAGTAATCTGTTAGTTCCAGTGAAGGGAATTTCAAGATGAGGGGGCATGTTTTTGAGGTGAGAGGAGAAAAATTTTAAAAAGACATGAGGGGCAAGTTTTGTGTGTGGAATGAACTTCCAGAGGAAGTGGTGGATGTGGGTACAGTTACAATGTTTAAAAGACATTTGGATAAGTACATGAATAGGAAAGGTTTGGAGGGATATGGGCCAGGAGCAGGCAGGTGGGACTAGTTTAGATTGGGAACATGGTTGGCATAGACTGGTTGGACCGAAGGGTCTGTTTCTGTACTGTATGACGCTATCTCTATCTAGCATTTCCCACCTCAAGCCACAGCAGGTACGTCCTGGCTAGTAGAGACCCCAGGATGGCAATCAGATGCCCTAGTGCCTATGCTTAATGTTGTGTCAAAATTATCCAAAACCTTAGTGGAAGAGCTGGCGTGAAGGAAATGATGTAAATGATGCAAGGAACAGTCAAAGCAAAGTTTTCAAGTGGGATAGAGAGTACATTGATTTTTAACCTCTGCATACTTTGTGCTCAGAGAAACATTGGTCAAGTTAAGGCAATTGATTTCTTGTTTATTGTATCCCCTTTACAATCAGACATACTCTGTTTTGTACCACAAAGCTCTCTTCACAGTCCGTGGTTCCAGCTGGATGTTCCCTTTAGCTTTTTGGAAGCAGCACTGGGATGTGACTAACAGGAGACTTCCAAAAAAGAGAAGGAAGCCACCCAGCCAACCGACAAACAAGGCCGGACCAAACTCCCACCGCGGCACAAACTGAGGGATGGCAGGATCCCAGAAGTTGACCACAGTCACGTGGGCCAGGTAAGACACGGGGGCTAGGGTTGTAACTCCAGCAAGCAGGAAGGACACACCCCCGCTGACTGCTAACCTCCCCTTGGTAGCCTTCTGGACACTGAAGCAGGCGATGGAGTCCAATCCGGACAGGGAGAAGAGCAAACCTAACAGGCCGAGTGCCACAGACACGCACATGAGAATTCGAGTGAGCTGAACGTCAACTGGCAGGCCGAGTAGGCTGTCGTACCCTTTGCACTGGACTGGACCGTCGTCCTGGGCAACGCATGTTTCCCACATGCCAATGAAGAATGTCTCACTCTGTAACAAATCGGTTTTCCTGGTCAGCCACTGAGGCAGCATTATTGCTGTGAAAGAGCACAGCCACCCAAGGAGCGACAGGCAAAAGCCTACACATTGACACTGGCACGGTTTTGACCTCATCCCATTGGTGCTATGTCTCCCCGAAGGTGGCCCAGAGTTGATGGCGGCATCCGAGGCTCTTGCATCTGTGACACACCGTTCGAGAAATGTAGACATCAGCGCTTTCTTATTCTAGGACACCGAAGGCTGCTCCTCTGAAAACACCAGCCGGAAACAGGTTGACAGAAGTTGCTGCAGCCCCTTGACCCCTTCTCCTCTTTTCTTGGGCGATGTTATCCAGAGCACTTGAGGATGTAAATCTACAACAAACAATAGATGTTGGGGTTAAAACAGTATGTTTGGTTGAGGTACTTGCTTGAGATTAAAGACTAGTGAAGTGACAACTTGGAGTTCTGTGCAGTTGGGAAGTTTTTCAACTTTGGGTACTATGAGGGCACATTGTAATTGATGTAAAAAGCACAGTTGTGCTTAGTTTCAGTTCTTTTACTTTGTTCTATTGGATTGTCGTAGAATTGCACTAACGTCAGCTTCTAAGTATAAAGTGTAAAGTTGCTTAACATTATGAAATATATTTTTTTGGGCTCCCCTGATGCCTGAGTTGGAAGTTGCCCATTATAGAACTTTAACATTGCACATATAGAGGTCCCAGAGCCAGTCAGATAAACACAGTGTACAAATACGATTGGGAGAATTGGCCTCAGCATCTGTGGGCTACAGAAAGGAGCAAGTTCCTTATGTTACAACTGCAGTGAGCTGAAGGGTACAGTCTTGAATTGGTTACGTAGCCAGACAATAATCCAGAGGAAGTAGGAACTACCGATGCTGGAGAATCTGAGATAACAAGGTGTAGAGCTGGATGAACACAGCAGG